TGCTTATGTTAATACATTTCCTTTTTAAAGGAAAAGTTGAACGTTTATCTTCAGTATTGTTTTCAAATCCTTGGGGTTATTCTTTCCTTTTTTTTCTCTTTTTCCATCCAGGCACCACAGCAGCTAACTAGTTCTGGTGTGTTCTAGATGGAGGATGGTGTTATCCGAAGAAGCCTGAGCAAGCTCTGTCCGTGCTTTTCACATCAAAAATGCACCAATGCAACCGAATGCTTTTGGGCCGCTTCACCTGCTGCGTGACGATTGTAAAACCCGCATTTATACTTTGCACAAATAAAATACAAGGAAGAGGCAAGCACGTGTCTTAAACCGTTTGTAAGTAGTTTCCCCACAGTCGCGTGGTTAGGTGTGTTTTTTGCAAAGTGCAAAATGGCTCTGCTGCCCGAAGGCACGGCGTGCCGCACCCCTGGGATGCCCAAGGCGTTGTGCTGGGGGCAGGCAGCCCGTGGCGGGGCTGGGAGCGTTACGGTCGCCTCCGCCCCCCACCATTTTATGACTGACCGCTCCAGCGCGGCCCGCGCGCCGCCCCGCTCTCTGCTCACAGCGGGCCGTGGCGCCAGCAGGCGGCGCGCTCCATACGCGATGGCGGCAGCTCGTTCCGCACTGCCTCGCTCGGCGCTGTGCGGTGAAGCGGTGGCGCGAGCTCGAGGCGGCCTCAGCGCAGGGCGCTCCGCAGCCGCGCGCCCCGGCGCGGAGCCCCTCAGGCGCGAGGCCGTCCAGTCACGTCCCGCTGCTCCGCCCCGGGCGGCCCCGCCGGGCTCCCGCACATCGTACGGGGCGGCTCTGTCGCTTTCGGTGCCTGGAAGGCGTTCCCGAGCATCGCGGCGACGGTAGGAAGCCGTTGGAAGGGGCGTTTGGGAGCCGGTCTGTTTGTTGTGTGTTCTCACAGAGCTGCAGCGATCGCTGTGCGGCCATCAGTTGCGTCGTTGCTCTGGTGTGAACCGCCCTCACACATCAGAGGTGGAATCAAGAATTATTATTAATGTGTAAGTGTGGGGGGGGGGGGAGGGGAAAAGCCCCGATCTTTTTTTTTAATTGTCATGGGAAACATACTTTTATTTAGAATACACTTCTTTTGTGGTATTCACTCCCTAACCGGCATATTTGCATCCCAGTGATCCTTAATTAGATCCCTGGTAGCAATGTTAAACACCTGTGGGTGATGCAGGAGGAGTTGATGGTTGTGCTGGGGTTCTCTGTCCCCGTTTTTCCTCCCTTTGGTGTATTTTGGCTGCTGTCTCTGCTGCTTTCTGCTTTGTGCAGCCCTGAGGGCAGCCCAGCTGTCCCGAATTGAAGTGCAAGGGTGTTGTCACCAATGTCGCTTGTTTTGAAGAGAAACTTCATCCCTGATGTTGGAATTGGAATTTAATTACTGAAAAACACCCATTGCTTGAAAACTCTGGTCATCACTGTGTAGCAGAGTCAGCATGTCCTTCCTGCTCATCCCTGGGCTGTGTCTGGCTGTTTTTGCTGCTGTGACGCTCACTGAGAACTGTAGGACATCTCTAAAATCAACTGTTTGCCACAAAGTCACAGAAAATGTATCCTGCACTGTTGAGAGGCTTCCTTGTTGCATACGAAATAATTAAAATCCTAAGACTAGTGTGATTTGGGTCTAATCTGTCTTACTGAATTAATTTTAATTATTACAGAAAAGCCAGTAGAGACTTGATGAGTGTAAGCCAGGGAAAAACCATGCTTGTTTCTGCTGCACGGCTGTACTATGTTAAGTTATATGGAGCCATTTAACAAATGTTCAAGTTAATCAAAAAAGGTTTTTTTTTAATTTGCTTAAACATTAGACATGTAATGGCAGGCTTTATGGAGTTGGATATACCTTATAGCCCTATATAACTGTATTTTTTAATGTCTTATGAAGTGGGAATGTAAAAGATGCTTGTTTGCCCCACGTGGGAGCCTGTGGATTTCTGGTGTGTCTCTGTGATGGTTGAAACAGCTGGCAGTGTTTAATGAATCGTATCTCCATGTATTTACAAATAAAGATTTCAGAAATCACTTTCTGATAATGATGCTGTACGTGCCTCCAAAAATGTGTTCGTGTGACAAAGACTGTGCATAGTTTGGTAGAAAAACGATGCCCGAGTAATAGCGCTTGGCTTTCAATTCCTTGTTCCGCAGTAAGCATCCCGGCATTCGTGTTTATTTTTGCATTTCCTTTTGCTATTGTTTCCAAGCTCCAGGGCACGGCGTCGTGAGGAAGTAGAGGCGGCAGCAGCTTTCCTGTTGCGCTCTGCGGTCACTGGGTGGTGCTGTTTCTCCTCTCGCTTTGCAAATCGCTCCTTGTAGCAGTTCTTAAGGATGTTTTGAGAAGCAAAAGGGTTGGACTTGTGGGCTCCTTTTTGAGACTGTTTTTCTGAGACTGTGCAGTATATATACGTACTTTGCTCAAAGAAAGCTAGTGCTTCAGAGAAAGTGTGCAGGCTTCCCAAGTTCTGTAGTTATGAACTGTGTTGCACAGGTGTAGCTGCCTTAGCGTGGTGGAAAGCGTTTGCTTACTTCTCAAGGGGCAGCCAAGGAGAGACAGGTTAAGAATAGAACAATTTCATAGGCTTCAGAAAAAATCATGAATAAAGCTGCACAGTAAATCAGCTATGGCTCTGGGTTGGAACACGTGCAGACCGTGAGCCTCTGGGAAGGTGAGAAAGGCTTTACATTCAGTGCTCTGCAGCCACCATGCAGGTAGCTGCTCTGGGAGCTGCTTAGTGCCCCGAGGCTTTCATGCCACCAGCTGCTGGTTAATTTGTGCTTACTTGTTAGGAGCCAGCCCTGTAATGACCACTCACGTTCAAGAAGTGGAAAGCAGAGCCTGGTGCTTGATGCCTGTAGGCTGATGGGCCCCATGAGGCCGTGCATGGCAGGCTGTGGTTCTTCACCAAGCCCTAGAGCTGAGCGTGGAGGGATGGGCTGTGCTGCAGAGCCTTCTCTTGGCTTCTGCTGGGCTCCATCAAAGGGTGGGCAATTCACATTGTTTAATGAGTCTATTTATGTGACATCTTTTGAAATTTGGATCGTATAAATATGGCCCCATTTAAAGAAGTCTTCAGAATAGAGTGCTCTCCGGTTTACATTTTCTAGTAATGAACATGGTCCTGTTTTAAAGCAGAAGACAAGCCAAGGAAAAATGAAGAGAAAGTGACGTTAATATTGTCCTTGCAGGTTAATAATGGAATCTCACAGTGGCTTTTTGAAAGCCTGTGTCCCTGGAATAATCCTGGTGAAACCCCTGCTGTTCCCAGGTTCCTGCTGCACGTACCAGACATTACCACATCCATCACTCAGCCCTGCTGGGAGGAGGGCTTGTGCTGTCATGGAGCTTGTGGAAGAAATGGCATTTCCCCTTTGCTTCTTGCAAAAGCACAGGAGGGTTTGTGTCGCCAAGGCTCTCTCACTGCGTGTGATACTTTTGCAAAGCACAGGAGAAAAGCATTATCTTGTCTGTTGCCTTGACGTTTGCAGATTATGCATTACTGAACGTATTACTCTCAGCTTGCCTTGGTGTCTTTGAAATCCACTGGTCAGTTTCCACAGAATCGGGTGAATGGTTGAGGCTGCACAAGATTCCTGAGCAGCTGGGGCAGAAGAGCTCCTGTCAGTATTGCCCAGCGAGGGAGGAGCGCTGCGTTGTCTGATTGATGCACTCTGAGGGGCTGCGTGCTATGGGACTCTGGGACATTGGAAAAGCTGTTTCCATTGGAACGATGTGCCTTTCACTTCACTGTCCCCAGCAGTTCAATGCCAGCCATCTCGTGTGAAGAAGTCTGGTTGCTTACCTTCCTGCTGCTGAGTGTAATTATTTTTATAATTTCTTGGCAGGTTTTCTTGCATCCTCACAATGAAGGTGGCACGGTGCCATGTGCTGTTATCCTGGTCCTCATGGGGACTTGCTGCTCCTGGTGCAGAGTGACTTCCTTTTAGCCCACCAGCATCCCAGATAATGTCCAATATAATGTTGTCTGTCTACACAGAGAGAACAACTTGTGCCTTATTGAATTTAGGGGGAAAAGAATCAGTCTTTGTTTATAACTTCACTTTTGCAAAGTGGTTGTTAGAAGTACACAGCTGATACCTCATGGATACCACACATCTGTGTTGCAGCTTTCTGCAGTGATAAATGCTTAAATGCGAAGCTTACATGTTTAGCAATGAACAATGGATTTAAAGTTGAAGGCTAGTTGTTAAATGAGATTTAACTCATTGATCTTGCTATAAAATTAATAAAAATGCTATTTTATTTGAACCCAGAAAGCTTCGTAATAGTAAAAGAGCACTATTTTCTACCAGTGCCTTAGCTGCAGTTAAGAAGCTTTGTTGTTGTTGTTGTTTTTTAAGCTCTTATATTTAATGAGCTTTTTTAGCAATGCAAAGTTGCTTGCCTGAAGTAAATCCTTCAGATCTGATTTACACACGTGAGATGTGATCCATATAGAACTTCTTGTAACCTAGTGCAGCCGGAGCAACTTCTGGAATGAGCTTAGCTGTGCAAGGTGTGCCATAGCACTACACTGTTCATAGTGGATGAAATGTAACAGTAAGATGTTATGATCCTCGTGTTGGCAGCTTTTAGTAGAAAAGTCCTGGGCTTTGCCTGCCAGCTGGAACCAAGCAGTTAGAAGCTGACATTAGGCTGATAGTAGCTGCTCACGTGCAACTTTTCCTTACAGTAAGCATATATTTCTTGGTTGTGTGGGCTGAGGTTCTTCACATGTCAAATTCAGGAGGTGTTCTGTAAGCACCTGCTGCTAGGCTGGATAAACCTTGTTCTTCTGCACTCAATGCAGTTTGCCATCACCTTCAGCAGAAGCATATTTCTCACTTTCAAAAACGCACAGTGAGACTCGGGAGTCCTTATCTTATGAAATTTGAGGAGATAATTTTAATTACCTTCTAATAATTAAATTACTAAATTCAGAAAACCAAATCAGCAAAACGATCTACAGTATAATTGGATTTGTTGTATGTACTCTAAAATCAGTCAAGATTTCATGATTAAATAGGAAGTAGCATGCTAAAAAGCAGCAGCAATGGCAGGATCTCTCACATCATTCTTATACATGCTACAAATAAGAGCAGGATATCAAGGATATAAAGGATATAAAGGATATAAATGCCCTTTTAAATATCTTGTTTGTGTTCATGTGCTTTTCCTAAATTGCCCAAAGACCAAAACACTGATCTAGCAGTAAAGAGTCACATACCTTGCTCAGTGTCTTCAAGTTTGAATACTTGTGGGAAAGTCTTTGCTAAACAAACCATAAAACTGGAGTTTAGAATTAACTATAGAATCAGTTAAAAGACCCAGACTCAGTAAGCAGCCAGCATGAAGTAAGTGTGGGAAGGAATTTAGCCCTCAGCCATGTTCACTGATCAGATCTCCCTGGAAAAGGAGAACAAAGGCTCCAGTAGAAGTTTGGGCTGGTACATTTGTAGAACACTCTGAGCTTATCGTTAGCCAAGAGCAAGGGAATCCACTCCAAGAGAGCACGTCATGTTCCACTAGTGCAGAATCAGTCAGTGCTATGAACGAAGCGGGGCATCCGAGACGGAGCACAGCATCATAGTTTGGAAATGGCTTCTTCCTTCTGGTGCCTGCCTTGTGTGTAGGTGACCTCTCGGTTCTCTTCTTTTTTGCAGCTGAAACAGGACAACTACATTAAATATTTGTAATTGCAACAAAGGAAAAGCACTATTAGTTATTTTAAAAGTGCCATTACTCAAGCATGAAGTTATTTTCCTCTGAACTGGTGCAAATGCCAGAGTAACTCATTGTTACATAGGTTTGAGGAGAATACATCCTGTGTGCTAAAGTCAATGCCAATCACAAAATTATTGCAGGACGAGGGGAAATAGTTTTAAGTTGAGGGAGGGGAGATTTAGATTGGATGTCAGGGGGAAGTTCTTTACAGAGAGAAGGGTGAGGTGCTGGAACAGCTGCCCAGAGAGGCTGTGATGCCCCGTCCACCCTGGAGGTGTTCAAGGCCAGGTTGGATGGAGCCCTGGGCAGCCTGGTCTGGTATTAAACGGGGAGGTTGGTGGCCCTGCATGTGGCAGGGGGTTGGAGCTTCGTGATCCTTGAGGTCCCTTCCAGCCCTGGCCATTCTGTGGTTCTGTGATACAAGCAGGCTGTAGAAAAGTTTGTCACGTCAGTCTTTCTTCCCAGAATTTGGCCTTTTTTCCCTGAATGGCCTCTTGTCAGCGCAGATTTTTTTCCCCTTAGATAGTGTGACCTTTGGGAGAGACTGTCTCTAAAATTATTCCCTCTTGTTTCACTTCTTGTTCTTGCATGAAAAAAGGCAATTGGAGAGGCGGAAAAGCTGCAAGTTTGTTGTCTAACCCTTGTATGTGTGCTGTTTAGTTTGGAAAGGGACTCTCATTTCATAACTGTTTGTGGGAATAGCTAAACTGACGTGTTTTTGCCTTCTCACATATTTTTTCCTATTTTTTGTCTTTGTATCTCTGACAAGCGTTGCTACAGTAGTTAACTATGGCACTGTCAGTACAATGAACTGTGGTGCTATTTATCACAAAAATCAACCATTCCTCCAGTGGAAGCAAATCCCTTAGGTAGATCTTTCTTAGCCACGTAAGCATTTTTTGCTGGCAATAAAACAGAACTACTTTGAAGTGTATGATACTGAAGAAATAACATCTACTGTGGTTAAAAGTCTCAAGGGAGGAATTAATATATCGTAAAGATCAAATGTTACCACTTTAAAAATCATCCTGGTTTTCAGACACAGAAGCATTTCTCTGTATTAGAGAAAAAAAAGTTGGTTTGACTGGTTTTCCTGTGCTATGATAGCAGAACATCTTACCTTTTCCTCCTGCATAGGCAACAAGCTACTAGAAGGAAGATGAGAACTCCCATAATGCAGGCTATCACAACAGAAACAAGAACACCTAGAAGAAAAGGGGAATCATACAAAGCAGTTGAATTCATTTACTTGGGAGGAAAATTGCTTATCTCTCATCTGTCATAACGCTTTCTTCCCACATCTGCAACTTTCCTGCCATATTGTCCCCACTGCCACTTGTATCACTTTTGCAGTCATGGAAGGGATAAGTTGTCACAGGTGTGTATCAGAAAGTCCCAATCCCACAGCTGAGTCCATAGTCAGGATGTCAAATCAGATGCCTGCTGCAGTCACAATGCCAACATGCAGCCAAAGGCACAGCAGATGTCTTTGCCTTCCTGGGCACAGGCTGCCCAGGGAAGCTGTGTGTGTCCCATTGCAGAGGCATTCAAGGCTGGGCTGAAAGGAGCCGTGGGCAGGCCTGATCTGTGGGTGGCAACAGGCCCACAGAAGGGGGTTGGAACTCGGTAATCTTTAAGGTCCCTTCCATTCCAAATCATGATGTGATTCTGTGATTTGATGCTGTAACGTATCGGCATAAGCAAAAATGAAGAGCTAAACTCGGGGAACAAAGGATGTTAGATTTGATGCCTGTTGTTTTTTCATGGCAGGACACTATTGAATGTGAGCAGCTGAAGAGTGATGTGCTTTGTCTTTGATAACATTGATTAAAGGCACCTAAAAAGGTAAGAATGAAATCCAGATTGCAGTGTGAACAACTGAATGATCTCATGTTTGTATTGAGATGTTAAGCACTATTGCTATAATCTCGCTTTTGATAAAGATATAATTTTTACAGTAAAAGTATTTTTGCTGTTTTGCCTGACCCGAAGACCATGTATTATTCACATTTTCATATTTCATTCACATACTATTTTTTTATGTTTTATGAAATTGTCTCTAAGTAAAGGCAAGTTTTGCTACAGTGAAAGTACATCACATGGGCAGCAAAATGTAACACCATATAGAAGATTACAGAACAAAAGCTTGTAGTTTAAAGTGGAGAGGGAGGGAAAACTCAAACTTCGTATTTTAGATTTGTTTGATGAGGACATCTTAGGGAATTCAGATAGAAAGCTTTTTAACAACACTACACACCTGTTCCTGTTTAATTTGTGAGCACTGCAAGGTTTGAGTCTCTAGAGGTTCCTTCCAACCCCTGCAATTCTGTGATTGCTGTAATAAATCTCAGCTGTGTGTGTGGAACTGATTTTATTGGAACAGGTTCCTAACAGGCAAAATACATTTTAAGCATGTTTGAGTTTTGGTGAGTGATCCTCTAGGATTTGAGGCGTTTTGAACTTCAGTGCTTATTCATGGTGAGCATGAGTTTAGATTTTAGTCATTGGCATCCAAACTTGGATGATCTAATACTTCAGTAATTTGAATTTGGGACACAAAGCACAGTTCAGTGGCTCCATTGTGTGGCATGGGCACTCTGATGAAGATAAGCAGCCCTCAGACTTGACACTGCGAAGGCAGAAACGTTGCTCCGAAGGAATGCTTTTAGGTTGAGGCCTGGAGTGTGCACAACAGAACTTCTTTCACAGATTTCTGTAGTTGTCCCAAGCCATGTTTCAGTGAATGGCCTCTCCTTCCCTTTTCAACAAGAGTGCTCTGTTCCTGCCTGTGGTACCTCTGGCAACCAGCATCCAGGTGCACCTCAGCTGTGCTTTGGGGGAAAGGTTTTTTTTTCCTTTTTGAGTTAAGGGACTGCACCTGTGAGGGAGCTTTTATGGCTGGAGTAGGTGGAATGTGAGATTACAGGGGACGATGAATGCCTTTCTTGCAGTGGGTAGAACACTTTTGCTGTGGTTCACTGGTGGCCAATGAGCCTCTGTAATTAAGTGTACTTAAACTGAATGGGGTTTCTATTAAATTAGCACTGAGAAATGCCTTCTGTAGCCATAGAGACCAGTTCTTGGGTGAGAACAGTGGGGTGGGCAATAACCCATACAACTCAGCCCTAGCAAGTTATGCCAACGTTAAGGAACAACTGGAAATGCTTTTATAGCAGGCGTCACCTCTGCATGGGAAGCAAACAGTGGAGCTTAGTAGAGGAAGAGCCAAATATTGTTTTTGGCTTTGGCACTGGGTCACAGCAGCAATTTCAAAAATGTCAAATTTGATCCTCTAGATGGACATAATAATGCTTATCCCATTTCTGTGAAGTGTTTAGATCCCCAGATTAAAACCATGCTGTCTGATTTTGTATTGAGTTACTGAGATCACAGATTGTAACTCATTACTTTAAGAATTGAGCGTGATTTGCAGAGAGAGAGTAGACAGGTGCAGAAAATTCAGCTTAAGTCCTAGATGGAAAACAGCATTTCTCATCCCTGACTGTTGTGAATCATGTTAGCAAACCAGCAACATATGCTTGCTTACTTTCATGAATTGAGAGGAGAAAAAAAGTGGCAGTTGGATTACCATACTATTCTGAGTTTTAGCACATGGTAGCTGCTCGTTCCAGAACTCCTGTTATTAAAGTATTTCTGCTTAAACATGTCTTCAGTAAAGTGTGCATGGATTTAAGTTCCTTATTGTCCAAGCTTACTTGGTTTCCCTCTCTCCCCAAACTTTGGGAATTAAAGCTCTAGCAGTTTTGGGACATTCAGTCCTAGAGAAGTGCAAAAAAGTAGAAGTCAGTTATTTTTGAGATTTCTGTCGTGTTTGTTTGCATCACGTACTGCAATTTGCTCTGCTTTGTGTATCAGAGGTAATCATGCTATGAGTAGGCCTGTCCAGAGCCAGTTAGTTGCAGGGCATGCTTCATACCCTGCATGTGACAGCAGAAAGATGTCATGGGCTTCTGTTATGTTACTGGATCATACAATATACAGTGTTACAAGTTATTTTTACTTATCAAATTTGAGTTTCTCTTGAGGACCTTTTCCAATTCTCTTTAATTACCCCAGAACAGTCTCCCTGAAATGCAAAGCTGTGATTCCTTCTCAACTTGTTGTCTGCACAAAAGTAGGCCTGATATTACTGGGAACCAGAGATGTAACTGAGGAGAGAAGGCCAGCTCAGTTAAGCTGGCTGAAAGCATTCAGCTGTAGGGAGCTATTTAGTGTCTGGAGTGACAGCAGATAGCTCTGCTAAACATGAGGAGGCCGAACAGTCCGCCTCTCTTCATCTCCTTCCCTTTGATTGGGGTCAGAAGGGTTGCTTGGTGTGGCTTGTCTGATAGCTGCTGTGAGACAGAACTTTGTATGCACTCTTTGAATGCCATCACTCTTACATAGTTACCCATGCAGAAGGGGAAAAAAAAACAACAACAAAAAGAAAGCTATCTGCAGGAGAGTGGGCCTCCAATACTTCTGTGCTGGTACAGTGCAACAGGACTGCCACATCCATGCTTCCAGCTTACCCAAATGACTGTGTGCAGTTTCTTTGCATAGAAGTGTTTGTACAGCTTACCTTCACGGAAGGAGATAAAAACAAGTCTTTCACGAAACTCCTGAACGTTTCGGAAGTTATTGACCATTTCCAGGGGTTCTGGGTCATCACTCTCTGTGCAGTACATGGCTGTTTCCAGTGCCAGCAGCTATAAAGGAAAGCACACTGTTCAGCTTCCAGAAGCCGAAAAGACGATGCTGGTGTATCGCTGACAGGGTCTGTTGGAACGTACAGGCATAGTCAAACAGAAAGGGGCACATGAAATAATACTTGGAAGTCTTACGTGGCCCGTGAGCCCAAATAGAGAGTAATGTGTAAACAGTGGTGACATCTCTGGAACCCCTACCTGTATGTGTGTTTTATATACTGAAAAAATAAAGGCTGGTTAGTAATTAGCTGACAGGAAAATTGGATGGGAGGAAATGTGGTGGTCCTTTGCAGCACAGACTAACTCCTGAGCAGTGCTATTTCATGAAGGAGCTCACCAAAGAACTCGTGCTTTGGTAAAACAATCTGGTACAGTGGATGAAATTAATAATTGACTCTCATCACGGGGAGCACATGGGAATTAAATCTCATATTAAAGGTGGTAATAACGTTTTTAGTAACATTTTTTCCTTGTGTTTATAATTAGGTGAATTGGTAGATAGTGATTACAAGCTTATGTAATTTGTCAGTGTCCACATTACACAGTGTAATTTGTTGAGTGTCCAAACATTTGTTTGAAAACAAAAGCTAGGTGAGAACAAAGCTTAGATGAGAACAAAAGCCTTAAGTTAGAGAAAAGTCTGGGGATTCAGGCTTGACGAATTATACATCACAAGCTTTTTAGAAACAGTGACATCTACTCAATCTATCATGTCTAAGATAGTCATGACCAGAGCACAGGGGAACTTAGAGTTTGGAGTTCAGACATGAAGCCTTGGCAAAAACGATCTGGCAGTGACCTGTGGAAAGACTCTCAGCAGGGAACAAGCACATGGTAAAAAGAAATGAATCTCACTTCAATGTGATTCTTCAAGCTGTTGTTATACCAATTGCTATTCAATTGGCTGCCCATCATTTTGGTCAACTGCAGATGGGTTGACTCTACCGTGAATAGGGAAGAATCTATAGTGAATAGATTGAAGTCAGTTCTGTGACGTGCACCCCAACTGAAAGAGTTTAGCAACAGTCACTTTCCAGTTCAATAAGTAAGTAAGATAAATCCAGGAAAACAAATCCAGAATCCATGTACTGCTCCTTAACAAACATCAATCAGGACAACTCATGTTGTAAACTTGCCTGCTCTTGTGAAATTTTAACGGGGTGCCGGAAGACTGTCCAGAGAACGCTGGGGTAGCAAGGAGGAGTTGTCAGGGATCCTTCATAGCGATAATACTCAGCTGGTCTGTCAGGAAGCAATTCCTGAACGTTGAAACCAGGGACATGGACCATCTGATCTAAAAGAGAGGATTTAACAGTGTTAAATGCTGCATCATTACCGTGTGCATGGCATACTAGTGCTATGATTCTGCTCTGCAGTAAGCAGGGTGCTTCGTCTGATCTCTAGGAAAAGAAAAATATTTTTAAGTGGAGATGATCCCAGTTGGACATAGGAAACCCCAAAGTCTGCGTTTCCTATATACAGATCTTGTCATAGATACCAAATCAGAATTTTGTACAATAACCTGTAGCCATATTAACCAAACAACAGCTGGTGCAGGAAATAAGGCTCCCATGGCTGTGTGTGTCTTGCTATACACTCTCCAGAGTAATGCATTGAATATTCAAAGTGTCTCATTTTATGACTGCTTTGCCTGGGATTGCAGGACTGTTTCTGCAGCTGGTTCAGCCTGTCACAGAGTACCTATCTGGTACCTGTCTGATACTTCAGAGCAGTCACTCACCCTTGTATTTCACATTCCGGAAGTGCCTGAAGATCTTTTCATATGATGGGTTGAAGGGTCCAATCTGTAATGAACAGACTGTTAACAACTGTGTAGGTCCTTGTGCTTTTGCACACAGCAGCAAGCAGTATTTGATGAACTCTGCCCTAAGGAAACTGAGTATGCTGTCCAGATTTAAATAGAATTACTCTTTGCAACTGAAATATTACGTACTAGTCCCAATAAAACTCTTAGTCTGTCTGTGGCTGTTAAAGGTGCTTTGTTACACTCAGGTCTTAACTGCAGCTTAGTCCTTTTGCACACACTTGAAAGACTGAGTTGCTCTGCCTGTTCGGCCTGCAGCACAAAGGAGGAGCAGCCATTTCCTCTGAGAACATCAATAGACAGAAGTTCTCAACTGACATGCTGCCCAGCTCATCTGCTGCTTTCTGGTCCAAGCCACATCTTTCCACCCACAGATGTTCCTCAGTCTACTGCTCCTCATAGACCACGAAGATGAAGAATGAACTGTTGGGTAATGCAGGGCCACTGGCAGGAGCAGTAACTCAACTAGCAAGCAAGACCATGTGTTTTAACTGCTACCAACAGCTTTTTGGTTTAATAATCAGTGTCTTTCTTATGAATTCTTGGGTGCTTAGCAACTCCTCTGACAGCAGACATGTTAAACTCTTGTCCTTAGCTGAACTGTAAAAGCCACCGGCTTCCTGAAAGGTTTTCAAAGACTAATCACCAGACTTAACAACATTCCCTTATTTGATTTTAAACACCATTATTTGGGGAAAAAAAAATCATAATCCTCTGCATAATATACAGTACTCTGAAGTTTTTCACAGCTGCAACTTCCAAATGAACTGAAATGTAACACAGTTATTGACAAATTCTTAGAGCTAGGAAGGGAGGTGGGATGATAGCCACTTGAACTAGAGCTTGGTCTGTGGACATCGTCACTTTTTCAGTGAAGTGTAGAATTAGACTTTGAGTGAAGGACTCTTTATGCTGCAGAAAATTAAAAATTGTCTTGATAGTTAAGCTTATTCTACTAATTAAGACTTTCAATTCTCAAGAAAATATAGATTTACATATATATATACAAGCTTGTCAGAATTGTTTCGTAGCATCATGATTACCTTTAATTGCCTATATGTGTGGCCTCAGAGGGGAATAAGGAAACTTGTCATCTAAAAAAAGCACTGAATTTACTTGTTTATAATTTTGTACTGCTGCTGTAGTCTGTGATTCAGATGTTCTCAGAATCAGTCTTGCATCCTGAAAACGATGATCACATCTTGATTATCTTAAGTCGCCAAAGGACAAGTTGTGTCAGTATGTTTCTGCTGGGCTGACACTGCTTCATCCTACAGTAGGCAGTTTTGAGTGAGCAGGTTTGAAATCCACAGATGCCTGTTGTTTGATGAGCTAGACCAGTACTTAGCTTGTAAATGAATACAAAAATTGATTTAACAATTGAAGTGATTTTACTGGAAAACACGAGGAAGTACTCAGAGCTCCTCTTTTCCTAACATGGGTACCTGTTTAGGTAGTGCTGATGGGATTGGCCTAAATGTTACTTTAAAGCTCACTAGTGACTTAATTATTGAAAGAATGTTAAAAACAAGAGCAAGAAAACAAACAGCACCCCCAGTCTTGTGTCCTACCTCAAGAAGAATAGCCAAAACTGCCAGTCCGTTTGCTTTGTCCATTGCTGCTGTTATATCTGGATATTTCTCAGAGTTATAATGTACAATATGCATCTGCAGAGAAGGAGACATGTTTTCATGATAATGCTGTGGGCATGGTAATGTTTTTATTTAGCAACTGAAAAAGATGAGTGCAACCATCTCAGGCTAACAGCAGTAGAACAGCATTCTTCAGTGCTTTCTGGGCATAATGATGAGATCCTTTCTGGATAAAAGCAAAATATACCCCTTCCCAGCTTCTCTCTGGCTGGTATCCCTCCTGTCTACGTGACTGGGGAGCAAGAAGAATGATTGTTTCATCTTCAAGCCATCTTGTTTGTAATACTAGCATTGGTAAATGTTTCTGAAAAAAACAGTATTTCATTTGATCGTTTTGCAGCAAATATCCAATTGGTACTGCTTTCCAAAATCTATTCCCAAATCCATAATTCAGGATTGGGAAAGATAATAAGTAGTTCTTCAAAGGAGCAAAAAGTGCGAATAAAGATAGAAGCGCATTTGAAGACATTGTTCAAACCCAGCCAAGCAGTCTTGTGCAGCTAAAAGATTACAGAGAAACCAAGCAATCTGCTTGGAGTTACTTAAGAGACCCAGTGCCAGCCCTGAGTTTAGAATATAACTCCCTGACTTGCAGTACTTTGGAGCCCACCTTGTTTGTGGTTCAAAAGCATATTTTAATTATACACTCAGATCATGAATACTTGGATTAGAACCTTGCAGCCTTTTCAGTCATACACCAAAGTAAAGATCCCATTTGAGATAGTGTCCGGCCTCCTTTATCTCGCTCATCGATTTGAGCATGTCTTACCTCTGCTGCAAAGTGCTTCCCGCTGACTGTGTGCTCTGAGCCTTCCGACTTGTTTCTGTTTCCCCAGTGCAGGTGAAGTTGAGATGCAGTGTATTCAAAAGGGAGGTTTCTGATGTGCATGGTAGGTGACAGATGCATTTTCACTGTAAGCAGACCGAAGGCAGGTGGGGGCAAATGATACCACAGCTTTTAAGGAGGGGGCAAATAAAACTACGACAGCTAAACATAATACGTAGGGAAAGAACAAGGCAGAATAGCTACATTTTTAACTTGGAATCCATCCCAGTCTGTCGATAGGAGCTAAACACTTATTTGTCATTAACTCTTCCTAAGCGATTCAGAAGAATTTAGAATATTCCTTTTTCTGCTTTCTTTAACTAAATGAACTGAATGTGGGAATTATTGCTAATTATTGCTCTGTCCTCCTTGAAGAATGCAAAATTATCTCAGCTTTATTAAAGAGAAAGTTATCAAAGTATTGAAGGAAAACTTAGGCTCACGTGCCTTCTCTAATTCCCCTTATAATGCTTAAAATGTCTTAATAAATTAGTATTTCATAGTATTTTTGAAATCTTGTTGTATTGAACTCCTCTGTCTGTTAATCCTCTATAAGCAGCCTGTGTCAACACCAAGTAAACTACTGATCTCTCCCTCCCTCCCCCTTCCTCAGTCAAACCCAGAGTGCTGCTGTCAAGCAGCAAGACACCTGTTGACCTAAAGTGTTAGTATTTCCTCTTTCAGCATGATGGAATGAGTTTTTTTGTATACTTGCTAATGCTGCTCAGCATGGAGAACAGGCTAGCTTATATTTTGTGTATAAATTACAGTAGAAAGGGAATTGAGATGTTCTCTATTGTCACTGATTACTGAGAAATTGGGTACTTCATTGAACAATGATTTGTATAAAGAAAATATCATCTGCTTTGCAATTTAACTTTACTGGCTTCTAGTGAGAATATAATTTGTTTCTGACGTGTCCCAGATTTGCTGGGAAAGCAAGGCTCAAAACTCATGAAGGAGCAGCTGCAAACATTTTCTGTTAGCTAAAAAGCATTTCTTGAGGTCTGCTGTTCTGTTTAGCTGAAGTAGGTAATTGCATCTGGCTTAACTGGCAGTGAAGTGCCTTAGCTGTGTGTAGGACTGTCACATCAGTCACTCCTAAGTACCCTACTGATTTCTTCTCTAGCCATGAGAGAAGATAACAGCAGATGCTGTAATGATCACTCTAACAAAGAGTTGATTTTCCATTGAACCAACTGAGAGATTGGTCTTTACCTGAAGAATGTGTTTGTGATGCTGTACACAGCAGCTTTACCTCACTGAAAGCATGAGGAAAAAATGAGAAGTGCATTGTGAGCACATTTTAACAGAGCATGCCAGAGAAGAGCAGAGGCAAAGACTGCAGAGGTTCTTTTGATGCTTGTAGGATACAAGAAGTGCCTTATATGTGTCCTTATTTACATGTCCTCAAGTGTCTCATGAAGGGAAAAAATGATGGGACAAACTTAACTGTCACTGTATGTAGTGTTGATACGGTAGATACTGCAGATCTTTATGTGACTGCATCCTGTCTGCTTTTTACTTTGTGTGCTGATGCTTTTAATACAGCCAGGCAAAGCATGATTGTAAGCTGTTTCTAATTATTTTTCTGTTCTTTTATTTATTTGTCTTATCCTGCACTATAGGAGGTTTCTACCTCAAGTCAAAGGAACAGAATAGTGCTCCTTTGTTCTTTTTCCTCCGTGTAACTCAACTGAGCTGCTTTGATTAGAATATCAGAGATAACTGCACTCAAATTTTATCGATTTCTCTCTTTCTAATACAATCACCAAGTCTATTTCAGAGCACTTCAGCCAAAGTAGGAAGAAAAGCTTTCAAAGGCAAGGAATTGTTTTTGACATGCCTATTATTTATTGAAGAAAACCACAGTTTTTCAGTTCTGCTTGCAGCAAATCCATCTGTGCTTTGTACAATCCCAAGTTTCCCTACTGTGTTCTCTAGATATGCATATGCTGATGAAGAGGCATCATAGCTTAACTTCAAATGATAATCAAAGTAATTTGCCCGTAAAATACAAGATTACAAACTCCAGCAACTTTCCTACATAATTGTTTGCTGTCATTGAGCTCCCTTACCTGAGTGCCCATTATTAGTCAGTGTGAACTGGTCAGTGGAAGACACATTATAGCCTATGAATTCTAAAGGTGAGAGATTAGAATCATACTGGAGAATATCTTTGTGAAAATCTATTGGTGATTGAAATACTCCTCCACAAAATGGATATTTCTTCGGCCAGGTGTTCTCTCCATCAGGACCTACATAAAGTGACAAAATTGACATTTGTCAGCCTTATCTCTGTCCAGGTAGCACATGCCTTTCCCTCCCCCAGACTGATTCAAATATCATTCAGAAGTTGGAAAGTTCAGAAGTTTCACCCTTTGCTGAATTTTGAAGACTTTTTTTTTTTTTAAATTCAGCTTTTCTCAATTCTTGTTTCCAGGATGCCACTTAATTGAAAAGGGCCTTATTATCATAGTAAGATGCATTTGCTGGTGGAGGCAGTGCCAGCAGAAATCTCACCTAGAGACTGTTCACCGTCCCTTGATTTTGGACAGCCTTGGCGGCCGTTTTATCTCACCCTGCTGGGGGCAGCTCAGTGGATTGGGCCTATGGTAACAGCACCACAGCCAAACGCAGTGCTTCTGATCCTCTAATGGTGGTGTTGTGTCTCCTTGAAGTCCTCACGCACAAGTGAAACGGTATCTATGCCAGCAATATTTACTGATGTGAATTACTTTTCCCTATAAAACTTACAGGCGTGTGCATGTTAATGTGGCTATTCCTGCATTCTGAAGAGAATTTCTGACGGAAGTGACTTCATGTTGACAGAGGAAAGCTTCCATATTTTCCAGCAAACAGAAAGCCAGATCCCTGTAAACCTCTCCTTATCATACAAAGCATTGCGCTCCATCTCGCAATGTTACCTACATCACAGTAAAAAGCTAATTTGCAGAGGTGTTATGGTAATTTGACCTGTAATAACTTGATCAGACTCTTGCAGAATTTTTTCCTCACAGCCTTTTGCCATAGGCAGTCTCTAGTAAGAATAGATAACATCAAGACATTGTTGGTCTATTTAATTACGTATTAAATAGCAAGCAGCTGTTCACAAGCTCTAAGCTGGGACTTTTCGGGTTTAAATACCAGAAGAAGTGCTTGTAACTTTCGTTTCTCTCTAATACTTGAAGATTCATTGATTCTTGCTAAAACAGGAAGATCTTTTGGGGTCACACAGGACTGATCTGGTAACCCAGGCCATTGGACCTCCTTGGATCAATTATAACTTTAAAGAGGCTATATTTTGAGGGGAAGAAAAAAGAAAAAAGTATTTCTTTAACTGTTGCAGATAAGAGATACTTCATTCTTGCCCAATGAATAGTTGCTCTCCGTGGAAGCTTGCTTGTCACAATGAATTTGTCTAGATTTGACTTCATTTAGATAGCAGCTGCTTTAAGTCTTTTGCTTGGAAACTGAAGAGCCTGCTGTGAGCATGCTTGTGTTCATCTGAAGGTACTTACAGAGGATGCTGTTTCTTGCTTCTCTTAAAGTAAATAGATTTCGTTCCTTGATTTTTTTTCTTTTCCAAGCCCAAAATAGCACTTGTGACTTTTTTTGTCATCTCAGTAGGATGCTACAGCAGATGGCCCTTAAAGGATGACAGTGCTTGTGGGACTTGCACATTGGCTGACCAACAGAAGAAGAAAGTGGGTCTACGAGGCGCCTGTGTTACCAACAGTCTTTTGCTCTGATGATCAGTGTATATTCATGTTGCTCGAGGTTCTCACAGAAGATCCAAGTTCTCTTAATCTGTAGTCAATTAAGTAGTAAAATGCACTGGGTCAGTAGCACAGGGAATGTCTGTGGTATTTTGCAGTCACGCAGAGCACTCTGCCCCTGTTTTCAGCCAGCTGGAAGCTGTACAGCTGCAGTTAGCCCAGGGCTGAGTCAATAGTGAAGGCTGAGAGTCCAGGCTACGTGCCACAGCAACGTGACCACATGGTTTCCATTTTGCTCAGAGCGCAGTCTGAGCTCAGTCTACCTTCACACAGCCTGTACGTGTAGATCTTTTGCGTGTGTGTGCAGTGGGAAGCTAGAGGAATTGCAGAACCCAAAGTGAAGCACAGATCTCCAATTCTATCCATTGGCACCTGAATTTCTCCTGCACCCTCAACCTTGTACCTTGACCCTCAATCTTGAGATCAGCCTGCACTGACTACAGTGGCCTGACTTCCTTTGTTTTACTGTTGACTTGATTTTACTGGGGAGCATTGCAAGCTTTTACAGGGGTAAAGTTAAAAACGATGGAAGGTGGAGGCTGCCATAACGACTCAGTGTCAGTAGGAGATTATGGTGGATAAGTTCTGGCTTTGACTGCAGTCTTTCCAATTGCCATTCTTCTCTGTGCAGATCAACATTCCTTTTTTCTGGAAAAGAAACTTTCTGTGCATTTCAATTGCTATTTTGATTTTTTTGAAGTTGCCGGTACACGTTTTCTAAATAGATTAAAAAAAACCCCAGCAGTTGAAGGAAAAAATAGCTACATTAGAAACAGGATTGCAGTGTCAAAGCACTTAGCTGGAAGGCGTGAGGCTGTGTACTGTGTTGGGAACACAGTCTGAATAATACACTGGTACCAAAATTCCCCCAAATTCCTGCAGAAGTAACTAAATTGAACATGCGTGGCCCTGGGAAGAAGGGCAGAACTTCTCCTTTGCTGGTAGTAAAAGAAGCGTTGTTTTCCTTACTAACCAGCACAGTTAGGCTCATCTGCTTCCTGCTGGCAAGGTGAAAAACCCAAGCTTCTTTTATTCAAAGTATGTTGAACAATTTTTGCTAAAGGAGAATATGAAATCTGTATACATATGCTGATGGTTACGGTAATACCTAAAGACATGTCAGCTGGCAATTTTCTCTCACTCATTATGGTGATCTGGAGCACAGGCAAAGCAAGCAGTTGTCAGCAGCAAGTTAAATCACAGAGATTCCTGGAGTTGTTGGCTGCTCCAAGGGTTTATGAAGAAGCATTTTTTGCTGAAATTCTCAGTACAGGCTGCTTCTCTGTGAGCATGTGGTGTGTGAAACACAGCTCTGAATGGGGAAATTCTGGCCAGAGGATTTGTTCACTTAAAATAAGATTTCTAGTTAATTCTAGTCTCTAGTTAATTAATGCACAAATTAGTTAGTACTTACCAATATAGGACCATTTTGACCCTGTTTAAAAACAAACAAAATCTTAGTGTGAGTCTTTGAAATTGAGCTTACACTGTGAATTAAAGAAAGAAATCGCCCCTTGAATCCATGTACTGAAACTCACTTTCATCTGACTTTCTAGGTCCAGATGTTGAGCAAAACAAAGAAGTTTTCAAAGGCTATGAGCCCTTCCCAACCACATTATGACTAGGGTTATTCAGAGATTTTGCCTAGGACTTTCTTGTGGTTGCTTAAATTCTGGGGCCAAACTTTTTTCTTCTCTCTCTCTCCCTTTTTTTTTTTTAATAGCCACAGACTGTATATAGGCATCCCCGATTTCTTCTGGTGAGACAAATAAGGAGTGTAGGCAGGATGAATTTGTCATCAAAATCCCCATGCCTAATTGAGCTGTTTGAAACGCATCAGGGGACTGCCTGTTGCTGCCCTGAGAAATGAGAGGCAGTCCTTTCTGCACAGGCTCTCTGGGATTTGCCAGCTGAACCATACAGAAAATACACGGGCTTTGGAAAAAGAGGATGTGATAAAGGAACCAACATAACTCAGAAAATCCCAGGGGGTTGAGCGGGTGCTAAAATAATCAATGTTCATCTGTTGCTTAAGGAACAGAATGTGGAACAGTGCCTTTGCGTGCCTTTTGAAATGCCTTTATTTAAATACTCTTTTTTTTTCTTTTTTTTCCCCCAGTCTACTTAGAGTAATTCAACTTGCTGTGTAAATACTGGCACTTGTCCTGGCAGACCTGAGCAATTGTGGTTATCAGGCTTAGGAGGCAGTTCTGGGTGACGAGTCCTGCAAACACTCCATGTGCTTGTGCATGCATGTGTGCAGCAGGTATTTATCCTTAGGTGCACGTATTTGCTCAGAACCTGATTCATGTCTTTGTTTTTTGTACTCTGCAGTGTACTCACAGCTCTTAGCCAAAAACTGTTGTGTGAAATGTTTGGGATTAATTTGTGGGGATGTGCAAAACAGCTGCTCTTTGCTCTTACATATTGATACGTGCTGGAAACACTAAGCTCTGTGGTTCCAGCACATCAGGACCAGTGAGCCTTGCTCTGTTATAGTGGAGTTTTCAAAACGAGATGTGTGTAATCACCCTGGCTGGATTCCCCAGGTTCCTTCTGCAGGAGAGTACGTGCACTGTCTTCAATTGCTACATGCGAAACCTGATCTGCTCTTCCCCTCCTGTTTGCTGGGATTGTCCCTCACTGAGGTTTTTGGGGCTGCTTGTGTCCTGTGGTCAGCACGCTCTGTAGGTACTGCTTGCATACAGATAGTTACCAACTGTCAACGTGCTTTAGAAATCCCCATATCCTCATTTGAGCAGCGTTTGAAGAAGCATTGGCTTAACTGAAATAGCTGATCTCCACACCTGCTCCTACTTCATGTTAATATATGCATGAGGTATCAAAACCGTAAATATATGCATGTATATTTATAATATAGAACAACCTTAAGACAAGAAATTTCAAAGATTTTCAGCAATTTGGGCTTTTATTTCAAATAAAAATAAATAAAAACTTTAAGTCTTTTACCAAGTGAAATTTTCCTTAGCCTGTGAACATCTTTGATGCTCTGTGCTTCACTACCCTTGTGCCTTTACTGATAAGCACAATTACAGCTAGGGCTATGAGGGAGATGAGCAGACAACAGATGGCAGAATCTTCTTGATTTTGTCTGAAAGAACATGTCAGAGCTACAGAATTGATTTACTGTCATCCTGATATTGTGAGCAAGATTGGTGTTATGTTTACTCTGCTTGATAATGAAATTAGAATGAAGCAGACTGTTACACAGCCTCCTGAATTTGGACAGAAGTCTGATTCACACCTAGAAGGGTACTACCAGCAGCCCCAGTGAGGGCTTTCCTGCCTCTGTGCTTGTCCTGCAGTGAGTGCTGATGAATAACACAGCTTCATGCCTGCACATGCCAGAGGAGTTTCCTAGAGCCTAAAGTGTATCTCGGTTTTTCGTCAATATCCAGAGAATAAGCATGTTTCCAGTAACACTTCTGAACTGGTAAACTGGGAGGGGAAAGTTGTGACAATCTGCATCTTATTTGGGTCTCTGACTTGGGAAGATGTCAAAAACAGGCAGGTGCTGTAGCTCATACCATTTGTTGGCACCAGCTGTCTCTTTCCAACCTAGGAGTTCTCCAGATTTCCCTGCAGGATGCATTGTCAGACATACCTTTTCAATACATCTTTTCACTTCCAGGCCTTCAATGTTGTCGTTCTGCAGAGCACTGAGCTCTAAAAGCCTATGCTTTTCAGGTGGGACATTCTGCCATTTAGCAATTTTTTTCAGAGGAAATATGCCTGAAATAACAGGCTGAGCTGAAAAGTTTGGAATTCCACCCTGTGGAGCTCATGCTGAAAACCTGGCAAAATACTCATCCTGGTGGGGCTGCACAAGAAGCAGACTGCTCTGGATTACGTGCAAACCTTCAGGTTTTTCCTTCCATGAATATTCATGCTCTCACATTACTCTATACTATGATTCTCCCCCCTATCCTATAATCATGCTATGTGGATTATAATAAGCTTGAATGGATGAAAATTAACTCCTAAAAAGAAAGTGAGGAGTGCTGATCTCCTGAAACAGGTCCCATGTAAATATAAGGCAGTGAGGTTTATTACATGGGAAATGGGGCGCTTCACAGGGCTTACATTCTTTTTGTTTGGTTTAAAAATAAGAAGAGCAGAGGGAAAGATGTTATGGTTCCAAAGAAAGGTGTTACTAACACCGAAGAAGGCCAGTCTCACAAAGCAAGGCATGCTGAGCACACAAGTGCTGTGTAACGTGAACTACATCAGAGCACAGATTTCTGTTTTCTTTCTAAATCAGAATGTCTATTTTGAGAACTTGAAATAAGGACACTGATTCCAAACAATCGCAGATTGCAACAATACACAGTGTTGAGCATGCTACTGAAATATTAGTTAAAACAAACAAACAGACAAAACAACTAAGAGCAGAGTTAGTTTTCTCTATACATGAGTTACCCAGCAATAAGAGCAACAATAAAATAGCCAAAAGACTTTACCATTCAGTGACGCTGGTACCGAGAGTTGTATCTTTAGGAAGAAAATGAGCACAGTAGTGACCGTGGCTCTATTGCAGCTCTTGACTGACATCTCAAGGAAAGACTTGTAATATACCAGCAGTTCACACGTTTCTCTGTACTCTGAAGAAACTCCCTTGTAGGTGTCTGGCAAACTGCAAATGGCACGCGTGCAGACCTCCTGCTAATGAATTATTGCTCTTCTGTTTCCTTGTCTCTCCCTCCTTTCAGGTCTGCTTTTTATAAAGCTCCTCGGACTCATCCCAAAACAAGTGATGTAATCAGACCTGCCTCTAGGTCACAGCACCCTCAGAAAGCTGATCCTTTCCTTGATTACCACAATTTTACAGAACTTCTGAGGGGATCGACTGCAGTACTTATATAGCAAATTAAGGTGTGGAACTTAAGAAATTATGTAGCAGAGAGAGCTTATAGAATGTGTCCTTTGCTTTTGTGAACCAGACCACAGCAGAGTTTTTCCAGCCTATTTCAGAGCGGCTCTCTAAACTCCCATTTTTGGATTAGTGTGATTTTAGCATAAAGGGCCACTGTGAGAACTGGAGGGAGGGGAAGCCAGGGGAGGGAAGAGAAGTGAGGCTGTGTGGGGCACTGTTCATACTTCTGAGGGACCATGGACACTTCCAGGAAAAAAAAGCCCATCTTGTCTGGAAGAATTTTTCTTTAAGCTGAATGCTCTTGGAACTGAGAGAATACAAGAAGCAGAGAGGAATGAACATTCATGAAGCAACTACCCCAGATGCAGAGGCTATGTTCAGGACGTGTGGGAAGGGGTAGAGGGGAGCACAGAGTGTAGATGATGTCCTCTTCTGAAGGTGATTGAGGAGTAAACTCTTAAATCGAATACTTCACAGATAGCTGAGGAGAGGGAGGTGGGATTGGAAAGACTATCAGTTGTTCCAGTTATGTACATTATTATTGATAACTGTTATTAACTACTTACTATGTCTTAGTAACAACCATGTAGCACGTATTACTTTTGAGCATCTTTATTTATCAAATGCTGTTAAATTTTTCATGTTATTAGTCTTACTAATATTTATTTTTTCCTAACATAATGCATGAGGCTGATAAAGGCAAAGGAAAGTTGACTGCAGCATAGCTCACTTCTATCTAGATCCTAGGTAGGGATGTGCTATAAAGCACAGTTCTGGCATATTGGTGCTATTTATCTATCATCCGATCCTATCCAGGCTGCAGAGAGCAGCAGCAAGTAATGAATGGCTTTTAGAAAGTATCTGCCTTTGAATACAGTTCCTCGCTCATATTTCATAATATTTTGTAAAACTTAATTGTAATATCTTATTCTGTTTGATTTAGTTCAGTTAGATACAGTTTAGAGAGAGAGGGGGTGAGTAAAAATGTTTTTAACATGTCTCTTTAATTAATTGCTGTTGCCCAAAAGAGAGGAATGCATTCCGCCTACCATGTTTGTATAGAGGAACACAATGAGTCTGCTGAGGTTGCTGTACAAGAAACTATTTTGTCACAATCCTTCACATAATGGATGAGCCACTAAGGCTGTTATCAGTAACAGTTGAAGATGACCTCGTCTACAAAATGACCTTTTGTGTAGGAGGGTTTGAACTGAGCTATCTGCCAAAATATGCCTCCAAACTATCTCCTCCTTTCTCTTTTCTGCTCGTATTCTTAAAAAATTTACTGTGCTGAAGTACTTTTTTACATCTTCCCATTTCACACCTCTCCTGGCCCAGGTGCTGCTGTCATTTGGCTTTACATCCTCTGGAGGAATTCTGGGCTGGTGGATAGAAAGTGCTTTGCTTGCAAAATACAACCCTCCCCCCAGAACTCCGCCGACAAACAAACTCCAACACTTCTCCGAAACAGCTGACACTGTTTTCTCCAGCAGCCAAACAGGGTTTGCCGTTTGATTCTATCTTAATGAAATGTTAGGTCTCTGGCAGTTGGCTTTCATCTCAGCATCGATCCGAGGTGGTGACTGGACAGGGCTGTCATGGATTGGTGGGGCTCATGAGAAGGCGTATACTTGGATATACGTGCAGTTCAGCATCACTCATACTTAAAAATGAAGCCCAGAAGCATTCCAGTGGGAGCAAAAAGGAATTTCAGTGGAAGGCCCAGGAATTCATTTTGAGTCCTGCATTTGTCCTCCGGTGACAAACCACTTGCCTACAAAACCCTCTATATTCTACCTCTCTGAAATTCCCTATGTATTATTTGTTTTCCATCTGCTCTCCCCAGAATATACTCATGGGATAAATATCTGCTATGGCAGACTAGCCCTGTGAAGTCGAATTCAAGGGGTTTTGCATGTATTTGCTAAATATGCTGGGAACTGTTGAACTGGGCAGAGCAGCACTTCATGATTTAATGTATGAGAACATCAAGAGCTACTGCATGGCTGCTTGCAGAGATTCAAATCGATTTTTCCCAACCTTTTTTCTGTTCTGATACTCTGATTTATTCCCTTCGCTAAACTTGACCTCCTAGATTGCATTAGGGCATAGACTGACACAGTTATCAATGAAATCTTTCCCCACTAAGCTGCTAGATTTAATGTGAATGTGGACATGAGCAATCAACCTGTTACTGCCCTGATGACCAGCCTTCCTCTGCAGGGTGGCTTCTACAAGTCTGGAGTGGACAAGAGTTTATATCAGCAAAGCAGCAACCAACATTAAACGGTATCTTTAGTCACCTCATTCAGAAGGAAAAAAGCTAAGCAGGCACTGTGTTCCTTCCTGGGGCTCTGATACACTGTAGAACTGACTTGTGCAAACACTTGAACAGTCTCAGGGGATAATCCTGCAAACCAGAATGTTCATGATTGCCTTAGTTTTCCTCCTCGAGTGCAGCTTACAGTAAAGGTCCAGGACCTGCTATAGAAAAGCCGACAACATAGTTAAAAGGACAAAGCAGAAAAGAAACAGGGAGTGGTGGGAGCAGGATAGTAGGATGAACCAAAAGCCAAATAAAGGAAAATATCACAAGTATATGCAATACATTGCTCTGATGAACTCCTAAAATTGCTGCAAGCAAGGTTCATCTCCCTTTTGTTATCAGTTTCTCTCTCAGACTCCTCTCAGAATGATCTTTCCCACTCCAGAGGTGTTCAGACAGCACAATCACCAGCACTGCCTACTAGGTTGCACTCTTTATTCCAGTTTCCAGGGCAGTCTGACATTTTTCCTGGGTGTTAGCCACTCACTTAGTTTTCATTATGTTAACTAAACATAATGATTTTGATGAGGCATGCAAACACGAACTTGTGGAGGAATAAAGATGAACTATTGAGACTGTCTGTGTCAGTAGCAATTGATGACTTTGTGTTTCAAAGGACATATTTCATAAAGTGAACCCTGCTGGAAAGTACTAAATCTTAGTTCAATTTACTTCTTGAATTCACTGCACAGGGAATGAAAAGTTGTGCTTTTCAGTGGTTCATTTGTACCATCCATTGTCTCATCTGATTATTCTTTCGTTATGCTGCATGAAGAGAATGAATTACTGGCTAACTACAGGGTTAGAGTGCTCCCTTTTACATTCCTCTGCTCAGAGACCAGATGGAATAGATACACAGACCCAAAGTGGGGATTTGGGATGACTCACTGGGCTACAGTATCTTAGGGCTGTACTGAGGGCTGGTGAAACTGGCCAAAGAGGGATTGTTCAGGTGTAAAAAAAGTTGCAAACCAGGAATAAAGGCTGAGAAGAGGGTATTACTGGATCAAGCCCTATATAGCTGTGTTGGTGTAGTACATAAAAATGTAGGCCAGTCACTTCTTCAGCTTATGACCTGGAGTAGCACCTACTGGTGGTTTATATCATGCTGTATTTGTCACAAATGGTGATTTCCATTCTCACAAGCTGTTTTCAGTGCTCAGAACAAGACTATTACTACTGACTTGCATTGCAGCAGAAGCCAGATCATAGAATCATTAGGGTTGGAAAAGGCCTCTAAGATCATCTAGTTCAACCATCCCCACTAAACCGCGTCCCTAAGTACCACATCTACCCTGTACTCGAGCACCTCCAGGAATGATGACTCCACCACCTCCCTGGACACCGTATTCCAATACTTCACCGCTCTTTCTGAGAACAAATCCTTCCTAATATCCAATCTGAACCTGCCCTGGCACAACTTAAGGCTGTTCTCTCTGATCCTATCACTGTTACCCAGGAGAAGAGGCCATCCCCCATGTCATCACAACCTCCTTTCAGGGAGTTGTAGAGAGCTGTAAGGTCCCCCCTGAGCTTCCTCTTCTACAGGCTAAACAATCCCAGGTCCCTCAGCTGCACCTCATGTGTTCCATACCCTTCACCTACTTTGTTGCCCTTCTCTCAACACTCTTCAAGGCCTCAATGTCTTTCTTATAGTGAGGGACCCAAAACTGAACACAGCAGGGACGAACACTGGACACTGGTGAAGGGCAGCCTCACCAACGTACAGAGGGACAGCCCCATCCTGTTGGTTGCACCATTCCTGATACAAGCCAGGATGCCATTGGCCTTCTTGGCCATCTGGGCACACTGCTGGCTCATGTTGAGAGAAAAGATGTCACAGAAAATATATTTTAACTCTCTATCCCAAGCTTTTTCTTGCATGTATAGTGGCGTTCTGGAGTTTGCACAACTGAGAGAATAAGGTTTAGGTTACCAGGTTTAACAGCAGGCCACATTTTACTGCTTTGCATGTGATTCTTTACGCTGTGTTATGTCCATTTCTCCTCAGATGCAGTCACAGCTGTCATAGGAGCAATTTACCACTTGTCCTGTCTACCTATTTTTCAGTCTTCGTTAGTCTTCCACTTCAGCACAGCAAATGCTGCTATTCCTTGTGGTATCCACTCTGGAAACACATTCTTTATATAGCAATTGGTTGAAACGGATCTAGCAAGACAGAATAGGGCTCTTGAGTTGGCAGCAATTTGAAGTTCAGACAGTCGACCAGTCTGAAAGCTCCTAACTGGCAAAAAAGAGCAGTTCAGTACAGAGGAAAGACCATAGAAATTTAACCTTCTGGTGAGTCACAGCAGAGTTCTTTACTGTCCAGATTCATGTCACAGCTTTAGTAAA